CTCCGTCTCCTCCATGCACAGCTGGTCGGGGTCCCCGGCGCGCGGCAGGCGCTCGCAGGCCATGCGGTCGGGCCACTTGAACCCGTACTTCATCATCAGTGGCGCGCACCCGTCCCGCGCCCGCTCACACACGCTGCGACAGGCTGGCAGGGGCTTCGCATAGTCTTCGATGCAGATAGGCGTGTATACAGAACATAAGAAGAACTTCAGGTCTACGGAACATTTGATCTCGACGAGCGGCCAGTATTGGTGAACCTGAAAACAAAATAGAAAAACAATTATTAACGCTGAATTCATTTTGAACTACCTTTCTGGTGTAATTAACCATAAGGGACACTATTAGTGTCAAGAGACCTCTGACAATAATAAGTCAATACGTACCTCAAGGCCAGCCTCCTCCTGTGTGTCGTGGTCGAGTGCGTTGGGGAAGGAGGTGAGGTTGTACCCGATGCCTTGACACATGGGGATGGTGATCTCCTGGCAGCGCGGCTGCAGCGCGCCGCCCCGCGCCAGCAGCGCGCCCGCCACCACCCACCACAACCACATCGTCATGCTGCTACCACGACCGCATCTGTAACACAATAAAAATACTATTAATATCACTACATAACAACAACATGTGGACCTTGCAGGCGATACTTGTCGTTAAATCACTAATCTGGTTCGTTCTTGTTAAAATAATTTTCTTACATTATAACACAGTTCTTTAATCGATTACTAAAATTCCACACTAATTACGATAACCACAGATATCATGACAGATGGCACTCGTACTGTTAAAAGAATAACACGAACATTTATTTATCTATTCACTTATTGTAGAGGTCGATGTAAACCTACAGAGTACTTACTTACTGGCACTTGTATTACATAATGTTACTTGTAATTAGTGTTTAGGATATAAAGGTAGAGTTGTGACTGGACTGATGCTGAGTTAAATGCGACAATAAAACAAACATGTTTGTTATTGTTGCCGCGGCGCGGGCGAGCGGCACGCACGGCGCACTACACTGCTAGCCGGGCAGGCGGCTGTATCGCACAATCTGGCCGATATCGGCGCTTATCGCTCGGTATCGGTACACGGCGATTACACAATATCTCGCATCGCATTGTGCCCCGACTACTGTTCGTTTATTGTCATACCATGTCGATAACTTGCTGATAAATGTACCGGATTGTTTGGGAAATCCTTTGTATTGCTATTTTAGTGCTTAGGCGTCATGTTTTTATTGTCTCTTCCGCAGCAAATATAGTTTATTTACTTTATATGTACTAATTTATTTTTTATTGCGGCAATGTGATGTTAGATTGTGTTGCCCTACACATGTTCCTACAATGCTGTCGCAATCGCGCACGAGATGACGATGCCTCCTAATTTGTAAGTGATTATCATTTGCGAGGCCAATGTTTTAGTTAATTAGGTCAATACAAACATTAGTATCATCAAAGACGGACGCCGAATATAAATGAATAAGTAATGAAAAGGCGGTGTCACTTTATTGTGGTAAATTAAAGTTAATCGTTTTCCCAATATCCAATAGTTATAGCGATTAATTTGTTTTGTTCGAAGATTTACAAAGAAATAACGTCGGAAAAATAAACGCCCAACGTGCAATCTTCTCAACTATATAATATTTTAAACAAAAAGAAGAATTTAAAACATTTGTCAAGAATATCGACGCAGTTCAGTCCATTTGGAAATAGTAGAGTTAAATGCTTTTATTTATTTTTGGACCAACATAAATGGTACGGCGCGGCCTGGGATTAGTTTGGTCCAGAAAGGGCTGCGTACAATTAACATATTGTGCCTTTCGTACAAAATCTCACTGATGCAACTTTACATTGTTGTGATATCAAAATAATTAATTTTACAACTGAATTATGGTCTTTAGATCTCGTTTCTTAGAGCATTTTCAT